ACGCTGTACATTGTCTGTTGATAATGTTTGTGTAGTGCTTTTTCAGCACTCTGCATGCGATCTTGCCGGTGGCACTGAGGGTTAGATTCCTAACTCCCACATCACATGGTCTGTGATCAAATCCAGCTGGAGCCATGTCTTTTTTTTAACAAACATTTCTTTGAAAAAATTAAACGTTTCCCTTGGTCAGAGATTAAATAAAACCTCACTCGCACCAAACAAATTTATATTTCTAAATATCACAACCTGATTGAATTTAAGTCATTTTAATAACAATGAATAGTCACCTATGCATTACAATATAAACATTTATATTGATTTAAATTGCGTTTTGATCGTAAATCGTAAACGCGTGTTTAAATATATGTGTTTTTTGAGCTACTTTTTTTAAGATTTCCCTTCAGTGGTAAAATTCCATATGAATATTCAATACTAAAATGGGCACAGTAAAGACATTTAAATCTTTCTATAACCGACCAACACACGAGTGCCCCTGTCGGTCATCCAAGCACATACCGCGGTATTTTGCGTCAACCCGCTTCACGATGCGCAAGGCCATAGCCAATTACCTCCCGTACGTGTCTGTACTGCGCACTTTGAATGGCTGCATCTGTAATATGCCAGGCTCTAAGGAATGTGCACTGATAGGGAACAACAAGTAAAACTTTTTAATCTTGAACAGAGAAGACTACAACAGAACCTGAATTAAACGTTCATAAATCTCATAGCTATTCACAATGTCAATCCAATGATCCAATGGACTTTTTAGACCAAACAACAAAACATGAACAAAAAGATAACAGGGAACATAACAAGGAAGTGCATTTAAAAGTGAGAACAGGAGGCACTATTACAGATGTGTGTGGACATCTGGAACAAGCTTATCCCATCACTTTTTTAATATATTGTCAGATAATCTTCAGATGAATTCACTGCAAGCAACTTCTGCTGTTTGTTTCTTATGTTATGGTCCTAAAATATGAACCACCTCAAAATTGCACTGTAAAATGCATACTTATATAATAATATGCATAATTATTTGATGAAAAATTTCCATTGTACCATTTAGTAGTGGACATTTATTTACATCACTAATCAGTTTGCATATATCACCACAAGACATTGCATGAACACATCTTGATATAACAGAAGAAAATAAAGGGTAATTGTATCAATACAATACGTATTTGCAAAATTTTAATTTAAAATCAAGGATATCAGATGTATTGATAGAACAATGTGCTAATATACTGGTAGAGTATGTATATTGTATATATGATTGTACAGTTTAAAATGCTCGTACTGAAATATAATTGGACTCCTAACTTTATAAATTCCTTAACAGAATTTATGGAACACCTATGTTACTTATTTCCTTTGTTTCAAATGTACAACTCTATACATTTTTTGCTTCTGCAGTCTGTGAATAAAGCTCACACACCTCAAATCTATGAGTGGCATAATGCAGTTTCTTGCTACATCATTCAAATCTTCCTCCTGATATGAGGAATATAAGTGTATTGTGAATTTGTATTATTCACATTTTTATAGGAACATCTTTCAGATGTTTGTTTTAAATATTTGCAGTCTCTATGTATTAGATGAATGAATATTAATTCGTTTTTGCTCTTTAAAAATCCTAGAATTCAGAACAATTTGAACAGATTTCTAATTTTAATTTCTCTTTTTTATCACAATTAGCAGCTTAGCAGCTATGGACAGCATATTCATCCTTTATTACATTTATTAGGGCACATCGGCAAGAATTCAAAGAATAATCAATTAAAAATTGAATTGGAATTACTTCTATACAGTTTTGGCTCCCAACTTTGTGAAATGGCACAGAGTAATTAATATTAATTAATTAATTATTGTATACTAAATAAAATTGTCAAATTCTCAGATGATACAAAAGTAAGTGGAGCTGCAAAAAAGTGTAATGGAAGAGATTGTTTTATAAATTCATATTATCACAACAAAGTGGTAATTATCACAACAAACCAAGCAGTCTATAAAGTTGATATGAAATGTTTTGTTGATAAAGTCATTTTGCATCCTGTCACATGTTAGAAACTAAACACAGCTAGTTCTTGGAACTAAAATGCAACACTTCTAAACAGGTGGGTGCTGCTATACAGTAAATTATTAATTCTGTCTCCTTCCATATCTACAGTAGTTTGGGATCTTTGTCATTGAAAAGTGCTGTACAATGCATTGTATTGTTAATTTAGGTGGGTAGCTGCGTCAGCATGCTTACACCTGAAGAAGGCTCCACGGCAGAAACGTTGTGTTTTCTTTCTTTTTTTTCAGCATGGAATAAACCTATTACTTGTTCCTGTTAAAATTTATTTGACTTACTCCAAAGTATGTTCTGTATCTGATATACAGATGTAGCCATTCAAAATGCACGGTACAACCCCGTATCGTGCAAAATTACCCACAGTTCACCACGTTGTACCACAGTACATGATTTGGCTGGCCAAAATGACCGACAGGGGCACTCGTGGTGCATTTGTTGTTAGTGAAATGGTTTAATTATTTAACCTCTTTACTGTGAATGTTTTAAACTGCTTAGTATTGAAAATTCATATGGAATTTTGCAACTAAAAGGGAAATTTTAGTAGCTGAGCATAAAAAGAAGAGGAGCATAACGCGTCGGAAGGTCATAAACAATATTAATTTAGGAACATTAATCTTAGTACTTTACAAATAATATACACTAGTATTCCACTCTCTTCCTAAACATTTTAAGCATCAAAGTCTGTCATTCGGTTACATACTGTGGTTATTTTGGAATGCTTTGAAGAAAGAAGTGCTCTTTCCCTCTGGTTTAACAGTCTGTCCAGCAACAAAACAATCAGTTTAAACAAGAGAGTGTGGTGTTACTTTTTGTCAATGAAAAAATAAATTATTTTCGTGTCACAACAGTTAAACTGATGCAGACGGTTACAAAGAAAGTGGACTGTGGTAATACTTTAAGCTTACAGCCTGTCCAAGGTCGTTCATTATTAATACTGATCGTAATATCTTCCGTAAAGACTTTGATGCATAACATATTTATGCATAATTAAAATATTTATGATAAAGGTGATAGGTTGTGTACTTTTGTCCAACTGAGCAATCTTGCTTCTATTTAATATATACTGATTTTTTATGTTTAATAATTAACATGCTGTAATACACAGTTTAAAATTATTAAAAGTCTAAAGATAAAACTATACAACTTAAATTTTAATTGGAAAAAGATTGTCCTCAGCAGCGACTGGGATTCGAAACCAGGCGTTTTCTGGCAACAGCTCAAATGCTGTACATGAGATGTTAAGCTTTATTAGCTCCATCTGGCGGTTTTACAAGGTGATCCTGGATACTATTATCATAACATGCGTTATGATGCGTTATGATGTGTTGTGATGCGCCACGCCTACCTCGTTTTAACGCAGCATACTCCGCACATTTTGAATGGCTGGATTTGTATGATGCAGTGTATTCAGTTACCATTCAGGAAATATATAGTAACATACAGTATAACGTGATTTTATGTTTTTATTATTGTTCATTTCTTATCGCTTTGTACAATTAAAAAAATATACAAATTTCACAAGTTTTTACTTAAGTTGCTTAAAACACCAATTTCAGATGAAAGGATTTTAATATAACAATGGGTTTAGTACACTGACTTCGATTACACTTTTCACTGAGTCTGCAGTTGTTGATAATTAAAAAAAACACTATAGGCAAAGGTAAGATTGACTTTCCTTAATTAAACCACAGTAGTGCAATATCATACTTGTTGAAGCAATACTGGCTGATGTATGTGGGCAATAGGCAATAATTCAATAATTCAGCAGCTCAGCTACAGTATTAATTCACTAGAAATTAATGGATACAACAGTAGTTCCAAGAAAGAGCCTGCAAGTTCAAAATGCATTGAAATATTTATTTGAAGTGAGGGGCCTTGCAGTTTTCCCATTCACTCATTAACTAATTCAAAAATTTCTGACATAAAGTTTAAAGGAATCTGATTAACATAACATCATCTTTGACGCAGCACACTTGCAGACATCCATTAACCCATGAAAACACACGTGTAATTTTATACATTAATAAATTGTGTTTTCATAAACAGTTGGCAATTTTAACATTCATGGGAATTGTTGTGAGCTGTGTAGCAAATTAATTTTGAAAGTGTGCTTTTGTGTGCTTGTGTTGAACAGGTTATACTGAGAATATTTGCATTAAGGCATTATTAAAGTGAAATGTGTGATTCATTAAATTTTTTGCTGGCAGGTTTACTGCAATTGTAAATAAATTGATGGTAATGAAAAATAATGAAAATGATAATATGAGATGAATTTATTGAATGGTATTTTTGAACACATTGGGTTATTTTCATTTTAAATCAATTGAGGATTTTGACTTGAATATCTTTGAATGATAATATTTTACTAAATGCTTCTTCAAAAACAATTATAAAGACTTGGAAAAGACTTGGAAAGGAGAACAACAATGTTTCCAAGCCTGAAAAATATTTTGTCATCCTTGACTGATACAGTACAGTGACATCTTATAACTTTTTATGTATTTTTTATTTTGTATATATTTATATATTTATTCCAAGATTTTTCATGTTTAGTACTGTAGCATTTTTATACAAAGTTGTAAACTGATTTTGTAAACTTTAGGTTTATGCAAGACTACAATTAAATTACACATGAAGGAACAAACATATCAAACATATCAAAATAACAAACATGATTAACCCAAAGTACTTGGATGCCCCTAACAGATTACTTTTGCAACATTTTTCCTTACTACAGAACTCATGTACTGTATAACTACTCTATATAGCAAAAGTATTATAGCATCTATAGAATATTTCTATATTTATTGCTATTTATTCAATATAATACCTTCAATATTATCATTCTCCTTTGGATAGGACAATAGAGCATATTTACTTTAAATTACAATGCAATGAAAAATATTTTTTTTTAACTTACTGAAAAAGATGTATTCCGTATAACTGCTCCAGATTTTATCATCCCTATACTTGTTGATGAAGGCAGCGGTTCCTGTGGAATTACAAGCAACCATGTGAAATCCAGCTTCAGACAGCCTGTCAAAAGCCTGCTCAAGGTAGGTAAATTTCAAATAAAACCGGGATGTATACTTCTCAGGCAGTCGATCAGGGTCTCTGCTTTCATTCAAAGTTTCTCCAAAGACTTCTTTAGCCAGGGCTATTCGGCCACACACCATGATTCTGGCCACCCTGCGGAATTTGGCATCTGTCTGGTTGTCTCTAACCATGGTATAAGAGCCCCTGTAACCTATAGTAATAAATCCTGACTTCTTATCTAATGCCATAGTCCTGGCCAGGTCACTGCTTTGGGAGTTTTCTTCAATGTCACTCTGGCATCCCTCATCATTCATCGAACTCTGTTTGGTAACCTTAGGTGTCAGCAGCTTCAACAGATCATTTAGCTGGAAATGCTCTGCCTCTCGTAGCAACCTTTCCTTTTCAGGGAAGTGGTCAGGCAACACAAGCTGTTTGTCCCTGAGAAAATCCAAAACATATCTGAAGAGGAAACCATCACGGTCTATGAAGAAACGGCCCCTGTTGTCCCGGGGTAAGTCTTTTACTTGTTTTTTGGTGAACATGCTGTGCAGAATTGTATCAGGAATGCTGACAAGAGTCGAATGTTTCGTTACATACACCTGTCCTCCCACGTTGAGCTCCACCACTGCTGGGAAAGGACTCGACATCTCACTAATCGGTAGGATGTTTTCCTTTAGTGCCATTTCACGAGGAAGCACTGGATAAAACGAAGAGGAAAAAATAGAAAATCTTTTGAGAGTGCTGTAAGGACAAGAGTGTCTGTTCTGAAGATCTGAAGTTTCTGTTCTGTTAGTCTACATCTCTGTTTCAGGGGAAAAAAAGGAGTATTAGGTTCCCAAGACTGTGCACAGACTACCAGTGAGAGCAGGTGCAGAGAGTTATATACAAACACTGCTGAGCAACTCCCAGCATTATTAGATTAGGGTCTGGGAAAGCCATGGTGACATCATGAAGTGACTGCTGGGGATGCTGTTTTGAAATATTTCATGTAAGGTTTTTAAAGGGATAGTATAATATTTCTTTAGGGATAGTACTAAGAATTTGCTTATTTTAGCATTAACAGTCTGGTTGCAGTTAGTGTAAAAAGGATATTAAATTCCTATTATGAAGACTATAAATATCATATGCAAGTGTTTATGCTCAAGTGAAAAATAAAATTAATGTGTGAATGGTAGAGCAAACTTACATTTACCTTCAGCAATTTCTTCTATTATTCCTTTTTCTACTTTTATGACATCCATTTTAATTAGACTAAGGATATTTCTATTGATTGGTTGATCCCGTTTTGTGTAACCTATAAACATTGAGGAAGGTATCTTATTATTTCATAGTATGAATTGTCATATATTTACAGCACTTTAAGACAAAAGCACTTCACTCTGGCCAGATAAATGTAACAACTAAAATATAACTCAAATTCAACTTAGTCCTGTACACATACTATTAAAAGATCTGGGTAAAAAGTTAAAGATCTGACAAGCATTTAACATATCAACAAGAAATTGTGATTTGTTTTTACCACAGTTTTTTTAGCAGAAATATTTTTCATGGTAGAAAAACCCTTTCTAAGGTTTTCTGGCTAATTTTATCCATGTAACAACTACATTAGTATTCTGACTTCAGTGACATGGAGAAAAAAAAAACAGAAAAAAAGAAAACTAATGCTTTAAAGTGAACCATTTTTTTTATTTTCCCAAGTGTCAGTTCAGCATTATGTAGTACACAGCACCATCTAATGGATAAAAAACTTTAGGCATTTTAGGTAACACTTTATATTAACTTTCATTAAAAAGTCATTAACAAACATCATATAATGCTTAACAGATCATTAAATCAAATCATGGTTTAACAAATGGATAATAAAAAGTATTTTTTACCATTCAGTACCATTATTCATGTTGACAAATCATTCATTAATGTCTAGCTGATTAGTAACAAATGTCTTTAAAGACCAATTACACCTGTTTTATTTATCATATACAAGTTCCTTGTTCATAATTTGTACAGTCAGTAAAACTGTCTATTTCATGTTTCTGCCTGCTTTGTAACATTGACAGGATGTATGCAGGCTTTCGTACTTTACATATATTTTTTTCATGAGTTTGTGCCCTGGTGAAGAGAGCAGTGTGTCCTAGGGAGTGGTTGGTTTAAAAGATTAGTTACATGTTTGCAACAGACATTAATGACAACAACCCAATTTAAACCAAAACATCAGGTTTATTGCCTCAATAACACATTTATGATAAAACATGACCCTACTGTCTGTTATCAACAAAGAATAGTTAAAGCAAAAATATTTTACGTCTTTTCCTCAATCTTAAATTATTTAATCAACATAACACTACTGCAAGGAACACCAAAATAAATATCTTTCAAATTTCTTTTTTTCTAAAAATATTTAACAAAATAGATGCTGACACACACATATACAAAACACAAAATAATTATAATGATTTAATAATGAACAGTCATTATCAGCTGATGTTAGATGTAGTGAACCTAATCAAACTTTTCTAGTGTATGCAACCATATTATTTTGGTGAAACTAGACAAAATGTGTTTAGTGCAAGTAAATGTGTGTGTGTGTTTAAGAATTAACAAACTAGTCTCTAGACATTAAGAACCAACTGAACATTGCATCACCATGGATGAAGTCCAGCATTTCACTTGTTCTGGATGAGCAAGATCAAACAATCATGAGCCAAAGCAGGACAAGCAGGAGGCTAGCTCAAGCACATGTAAGTAACATAAATATGAATCAAGCTGCTTAGCATATAGTACGTTCTACCAATACAGCTATACTTATCTGTGTATTTGCCACAGTTTTGTCTTATATATAGGCATTAAAATTAGTTATCAGCCCTAACGTAACTTAATTAGCTAAAATGTCTTCAATTGCATGTTTACAGGCTTCTCAAATGCATCACATACAGCCACACTATCATCAAGATAAATTCAGTAAGTTATAGATAGAGAGGAAAAAAGCAGATTTAAGAATTGCAGAGATAACTAGAGAAAGGGCTGAATTACTTCAAAAGTTGTCATTGGGTAAGTAAACCTCAGGCAGCAGTAACTATAATTCAATTAATTCTTAGCCTGGTTTTCTGAAAGCATGGTAGTGCTAAGGGCATCATAAGATGGTGGAGAGGGTATTACTTTGAATGCTCTTTCCAACAGTTAAGATGATCTTAAAGGTATGATGCTTTCTGGAAACTCACCCTTTGTTGATATACATAAATTGACACTTAACAATATACAATCCAGCTATTTTAATGGCTAATATATTGGGGAAAGATTTGTTAAGAACACCATAGATATAATTATTTAGGCTGTAGTATGTGTAGCAGCAATGCTTGTTAATAAGACAGAATTAAGTGTTGCGGTGCTTTCCCAAATGAGGCCCCATCTCCCTCTTCATCTCTGTGGTGCAGCAACAGAGAAGCTGTTCATGCAGGCTGATTTAAAGATGTTTTCTTTTGATAAGGGACAGCTCCCAAATGGGGATGCACTTAGCTAAACCTGGCTATCATGATCAATGGTCATCAATTGGCACCTAGCTGTCTAGGGAGTGCCAGATGGACATCTGGACTGCATTCCTAAGTGTCAGGAGTAAGTGACTCATATCTC